AGGCATCGAGTGGCGGGAAAGAGCAGATAGTCATTTGACAAAGGCGACCCTGCGCGGGGCTCACCGTGGGATGCCCTTTGCACTGAGGCCCCCGAGGGGCTTGGGAAACGGATGGGGCACGGATGGGGCAGACAGAGGGCAGTGCCAGGAGCCAGGAACGCCCCCCCCCCCCCCGTCTCATGTCCCCTGCGACTCACGTTCTCTGTGACCCCCAGGTCAGCGTGACTTCGATTTGGCTGACGCCCTCGGTGACCCCGGTGAGTGACCGTATTTCTCGGCGGCTTTGGTTCTGGGGTCTGGCCGGCCTCCCGCCTCCTCCAGGAAGGCAAGGGATCCGGCTCCTGGGGCTGCAGACCCGGTCTGTCTGTCTCTGAAAAGGGAATCAACACGCTTAAAAATAAAAACAGAGACAAACTCCCTGTGATGCATCCGTCCGGGATGTTCCCCGAGGACGGACACTAACGGCCGGGGAGCAGGTGTGTGAGGTGTGAGGTCAGCAAAACACCCCTTCACCTCTGCAAAGTCCTTACGTCCTAGTGAGCCAAGCTGACCCCTCACGGAATTTACTCCCCACGCACAACCCCAGCCGGCTCTCGGGGAAGACTGGGAGGTGCGGGTTGTAAGCGCGTTTCCTTCCTTTTTCCTTTTCTTCCCCATCCTAAGTACAAATTGGAAATTGTATCCAAAGCTCATAAGATTCGGTGCCTTGAGATTTTCCGTTTCTATTAGGAGGTGAACGATTCTTTGAGCTGTGGATAAATCCTCGATGTTCATTCAATTTGTTTTCTCTCTTTGTTCACAGAACCCACAAAGAAGCCAAGCTCGGGTGAGTGGCCATGAGGCCGGCCAGGAGTTATGCCAACCTGGGATTCTGGGCTGTTTTTGGGGGGCTTCTGTGGGCGCAAACGGGGTGCAGACGGTCAAGGCAAAGCCGTCGTTGGGGCGGTGCAAATCAAAGCCTCAGGGAGTCTCACCACATCCCTACCAGGAGAACTTGAATCAAAATACGTAAAATAGCGAGTGTGGGTGTGCATGTGGAGAAATCAGAGCCCCCACCCTCCTGACTCCGTGCACGTGCTGGGGGCAATGGAAGATGCTGAGGGTACCGTGGAAAATACTGTGGCCTCAAAACAAATAGCTAAAAACAAATTTCCCTGGAATCCAGAAATACCACTCCTAGGTGTAGACGGCAAGAGCTGAACACAGGGCATCCAGCAAACGTGGACTGCACATCCACAGCGCTGTGGTCACATAGCAAGAAGGTGGTGGTAACCTAATGCTCGTGGAGGGAGGAGAGACGGGTGGGGGCAGGGATGGGTACATGGTGGATGGATGGGTGGGTGGGTGGGTGGATGGGTGGATGGATGGATGGTTGGTTGGACAGGTTGACGGATGGATATATGGATAGATAGTTGTATGGATGGGTGGGTGGATGAACGGGTGGATGGATGGATGGATGGGCGGAAGGGTGGACGATGGATGGATCAATGGATGGGTGGACGGGTGAATGGATGGGTGGATGGATGCTTGGATGGATGCAGGGAGGGTTGAGTGGATGGTTGTGTGTGTGTGTGTGTGTGTGTTGTGTGCACGCACGTGCATGCGCCTATGTGGGGCTTTTCTTTAGTTCTAGTCTTGAGATTTTTACATCGAGAGGTTCAGGTAGGGTCCACTGGTCTGTGACCATCTAGGACACATGGGCAGCAGGTGTGAGGGACCTGGGGCATCTAGTGCCGTGTTGATGCTCCTGTGTCACAGGCTGCTGCTGACAGTGGCTACTTTTCTCTGCTAAACGTGCACTGTCATTTTCCCCACAGATACTGACCCCAAGGCGAGGCCCCCCTCTACCCCTCAGCCGACCATGCCCGACAACACTGGAGGTAAGTAGTGTGCTCCCTCAGGGTCCTCTGCACGCTGCTTGGTCAGAGCCTGCTTTGTCTTGCCTGCGCGTTTTCCTCAGCTGCCTTTGAAATGGGGAACGGGTCTCCCTCTGCAGGAAACCCCCTCGCATTGCCAAGCAGGGTGGGGGCTGGAAGGTTAACCCCACATCACGCATTTCATTCCCTGTTTCTCTGACTGCTGCAAAATAGGGTCTTCTTGCTGGATACAGTACGTTATTGTGATGCATTTTTAATTAGGCTGAGGACACGTTCCTCTTTCACATGTTTGCACGGTTCCAAACGATGCAGCCCCGAAAAAGCCCACCTGTGTGTGTGGTTTATTGTATGTCATTTATCCGCCGTGTCTGTGGAGCTTCAAATGTTTGGAAGACGAGCTTCCTGTAAATTTATTTAAAAACATTTAAGTGAAAGGAAACACTGACAGACAACATTGGTAAACTCCTTAGCAATCACAAAGTGCTGAAAACCTAAAAGCAGACCAGGCAGGGCTGAATGAAGCAGGGCTAAGTGAAGGGCTTCTAGAAGCAGTCCCAGAATCCCGTTCTGGTGCTGAGCTGGATAGAAATTTATCTCCTCCCAGGAGGGGTCACTCAGTGTCTAGACGAGGGTCCAAGGAAGGCGTTACCTAATTGAAAAGCAACAGTAACACCCGTGGCCTCAGTTAACGAGTGCTCACTTCACCATTTACCCTTGCCTTTTAAAACTTTCTGTCCAGTAGTAACACTCCAAGTGGAAGACTCTTTCCTCCAAGTTATTTCTCCTGGAATTTACTTTAAAATTTTTTTATACATTTTATTTTTAACTTACTTTTTTAATATTTATTTTTGAGAGAGAGGCAGAATGTGAGCAGGTGAGAGGTGCAGAGAGAAGGAGACCGAGGTTCTGAAGCAGTAAAATGTTTTTTATCAATTTTTGATGGATAGAGCATGAGCTGGGGAGGGGAAGAAAGAGAGGGAGACACAGAATTGAAAGCAGGCTCCAGGCTCTGAGCTGTCTGCACAGAGACCAACATGGGTGTTGAACCCACAAACCCTGAGATCATGACCTGAGCCAAAGATGGACGCTTCACCACCCAGGTGCTCCTCCACCTGGAAGCTATACCACTCCTAGGTATAGATGAGCAGCATGAATCACAGTAGCAAAAGGTTGTTGATATGCTAGTGTCCATGGAAGGAGTGAGGGATGGGTGAGTGGATAGATGGTTGTATGGAGAATGGGTGGATATTGAATAGATGGATGGATGGATGGATGCATGGATGGTTGGACGGTGGATAGACGTGTGGATGGATGCATGGATGAATGGACAGATGGATGG